GAGTGCTCAGAGCAGGTTTTCTTTTTAAGTTTATTCTCGTTGCTGCATTGAGGATGGTCTGAGAAGGAATGGACAAAAAAGATTTGGACAGAGCAGTCAGGTGTTGGTAGGTAAGAGAGATCATAGTGAACTGAAGTGGTGGTAGCAATAAGATAGAAGGAATATTGGACAGGTGTGGAAAGTATTTCTAAGGTAGAATTGACAGGTCTTGCTGATGGGTTGAATCATTTTTTACCCTCTCTGCATCCACCCCCTTGGGCATTTAACTTTGAAGTGTCCTCTGCCTCTGTCTCTGGACTTGACCATGTGCCTGGCTTTGGGTAATAGAATGAAGAAGTGCAAGTATGCTGCTTCTAAGTCTACAACTCGAGAGGCCTTGCTCTTTCTTGTGTTTCTGTCATCTCCATGAGGACAGTCCTGAGGTAGCTACTGGCACGGAACAGATACGTGGCAGAGACTTGAAGTGCCCAGTCAGTCCAGTTGAGACTCGTCTAGATCAGTGGTTGGCAAACTCATTAGTCAACAGAGCCAATTATCAACAGTACAATGATTGAAATTTCTTTTAAAAAAAGAAAATAAAATCCCCTGGGCTTCATTTATATTTCTTTCCCCACTGAATAATAGCAGTCCTTTTATCGCTTATCAATTAGTAACAATCACCCCAGCCGGTAGTAGTCCCCCCTTTTTCCTCTCTTGCCCAGTGGATGTAGAATGCAAAATGACCCATTGGCAAGCTCAGCTCCTAATTTAGAGAAACCATATTGTGCCCCCTGGTGGCAACATAACTCCTTTTGGTCCTTAAAGGCTCTGGATCAGCCAGAGCCAGAACCGACTTGCAGGCACAGGAAACATTTTGCAAAAGTCTTTAGTTCAGAAGGCAAGTGGCTGCACCCCCTACTTCCACTCCTTGGTTTCTGTCTGCAAGAGAAACACTGTATGACTGGTTGCTGGTTCTGAGCATATAGAGTACCTATCATTCAGTGAGATAGCATTTCTTAAAAGGACCCTAAGAGAACTGAAAGTCATTGATGCTGGGCTCATAAACTGCCTTTCCAATGAGATAGAACTAGCCTACTTATTAATACTAATACTTTTCATTTAAAAGTTTTTATTGAATTATAAATACAGAGAAGTGCACAAATCTTGTGTAGTTCAATTAATTTTTACAAAGTGAACAAACCTATGTAACGAAGAAAAGGAACATTACTAGCACCCCAATAGCCAACTCATGCCCCTCCTTGTCCCTGTCCTGTAAAAGGCAACGCTCTCCTGACTTGTAGCCCCATAGTGTGTCTGTTTATGTAACTTTATATAAATGGAATCGTACAAGATGTCCTCTTTTAAAATTGGTTTCTTCTATTCAGCATTAAGTTTCTGAGATTGATTCATGTTGTATAGCAATAGTTTGCTCTTTTCATTGTTGTTTAATCCATTCTGCTGTTGTGGGCATTTGAGAAGTTTCCAGTTTAGGGCTATTACAATGAATGCTGTTGTGCACATTCTTGTATTTTCTTCTTGGTGTGTAGATTCACAATTGGAAACGATGAATCATAGACTATGTGAATGCTCAGCTTTATTGATAGCATACTGTTAGTCAGCTCAGACTGTTGTAACAAAATACCATGGACTGGGTAGCTTCAATAACAGACATTTACTTCTCACAGTTCTAGAGGCTGGAAAGTCCAAGATCATGGCGCCAGCGAATTTGGCTCCTGGTGAGAGCCCACTTCCTCCCTTGTTGACATCTGCCTTCTGTTGTGTTTTCATGGAGAGAGATATCTCTGGCTGCTGCTGCTGCTTCTTCTTCTTCTTCTTCTGCTTCTTCTTCTTCTTCTTCTTCTTCTTTCTTCTTCTTCTTCTAATAGAAACTATCCTAATATATAAAAACTCAGGGTCCATAACATCCAAAACGACTGAAAAGGTCGACTGACTGGAAGCAGTCCTGCAGTCAGTGCTGGGTTGCCGTCTATCTATCTATCTATACTACTAAAAGGGTAATATGCTAAGTAGACCAGGTCTACCGGCCATCCGACTTCCTTCTGGACAAAGCCATGGCGGTGAGGGCCAAGGCAAAGGCTGTTAGGGACAATCAGGCCGGCAGGGGAGGGCAGTTGGGGGTGAGATCAGGCAGGCAGGGGAGGGCAGTTAAGGGCAATCAGAAAGGCAGGCAGAGGCAGTTAGGGGTGATCAGTAGGCAGGCAGAGAGGTTAGGAACAATCAGGCAGGTAGGCAGAGGGTTAGGGGCAATCAGGCAGACAGACAGAGGCAGTTAAGGGTGATCAGGGAGGCAGACAGGTGAGCGGTTGGGAGCCAGTGGTTCCATATTGTAGTCAGAACACCCCCCAAGGGGTCCCCAATTGGAGAGGGTGCAGGCTGGGCTGAGGGACCCCCCTGCACGAATTTCGTGCACCAGGCCACTAGTATATTTAATACAGCAACATCTTTTTTTCCCTCTCGTTAATCCTCACCTAAGGATATTTACCTATTGATTTTTAGAGAGAGCAGAAGAAAGGGGGAGAGACAGAGAGACATCGATGTGAGAGAGACACATTGATTGGTTGCCTACCACAAGGGGCCAGGGATAGAACCTGCAACCGAGGTCCGTACCTTTGACTGGAATGGAACCAGGGACCCTTTCGTCCGAAGGCTGACTCTCTCTATCCACTGAGCAAAACCGGCTGGGGCTCTGTCTTCTTAAAGGGGCACTAATCCCTATCATGAGGGTTCTACCCTCATGACCTTATCTCCACCTAATTACCTCCCAAAGGCTCTACCTCCAAACACAATCACATTGGGTTTAGGGCTTCAACATGAACGCTGGGCGGGACACAAACATTTAGTCCATATCACATGCTTTTGATTCCTGGGTTGGAGTCAACTCTGATACCCTTTGTCCCCACAACCATTTGGCTCCCAGAGGTAGAAGAGTATATCGAGCTCTGACAGCTATTCTGCAAGTTTGGTTCAAGGTAGATAATGACAAATATCTCACAGCTTCTCATTTGCCAAGCAATTTTAAGGCACCGTGATGGTAAGACATGTCCTGATTCTGAAGTATTAAAAATGGGCGAGAGGGCAGGAGATAGGTGCATCTTGGAATTGATGAAATAGGTATATGACAAGGACCAAAAACCAACCTCTGATAGTTATAGGTGGAACAGAGGACAGAGAGTCAAGAAAGTGGGCTGCTGGGCTGACAGTGTGATGGGACAGCCAGATGCATGCTTCAGAAACCTGGAGCACAGTTGGAAAAAGGAGGGACTGGTCACTGGTGCCATGGGAGTTGACAGGCTCTTAAGGACAGAGAAGAGATCTCTAAATTGTTGAAATGATGACTTTGTTAGGAGCTGTTTCAAGTGACTTGGTGGGAACAAAACCCCCATTCAATTAGGCAGAAAGACTTGGAAATAAGTCAACAGAGATAGGAAGTATAAACAGAACATTGGCTATGAGAAGGTGAGAGAAATGGGGTGATAATTGAAGGCAGACATGGGCTCAAGGAAGGACTTTGCTTTTTTTTTTTAAAGGATACTAAGCCATGTGTGTACACGCATGTGCATGATTCCACAGTGCAGGAGAAATGAGTGGTACAGAAAGGGGGGGTAGGTGCAGGAGGGAAGCTCAGAACCTGGTGGAGGGGGCGAGAGAAACATGGATCAGCTGCCCCCTGCACACCTCCTACTGGGGATGTACCCGCAGCCAAGGAACATGCCCTTGACTGGAACCGAACCTGAAACCCTTCAGTCCGCAGGGCGACGCTCTAACCACCGAGCCAAACCAGTTAGGGAAAGGGCCTGCCAGTCTTCACCAGCCACGCCACCAACCACACTTTCTCCTTTTGACCCGGCCAGACCCTCCTCCCCTCCTCCCAATGGAGAAGGCGGGGCTGGAGCGGGCGGCTCGGGTCGC